AAAAACAAAGAAAAAGAGAAACAAGAACAAAAGGAAAAAGAGCAAAAATAAAAAAAAGGACAAAAACACATGCAAAGATTTCCTAAAGACAAATGGAACATCAAGCTTCAAACTATGAGATTGATCAACCATAATCATTCCCGAATCACTAAATCACTTCACTCGAAGATCATAAAGCATCAAAAGATAGAGACATTTTGAGCAAGACAAGATTGAAGGCATCAGAATGAATTGATCTTTGGTTCAACAACCAAAAAACACTTGTTTGGGCCTATTTATCTTTTTCCTTCATAACCATGAACCATGGCCTACATTACTTGCCATAAAAGTCTCTTTCTAATCATACATGAATTTCTAAACGGAAGAGACTATCTTCAAATTTCATCCAGCCCGTCAAGATTAATATGTATTTGCAAAAAACAATGTAATTAATGCATGGTAGAGAAAAATAACAAAGGGGGGTTCAAGACGTAAATTCTGAATAACGTCTTGAAACCAAAGGAGGATTCGAGTTGAAAACCTGAAAAGGCGGCTCGAATATAACAATTGTGCAACTAAGACGATCACACAAATTCCTTAATAAAGCATCGCACAATCCGAATGTGACCATGAAAGCTGGGAGTCGGAGAACACTTCTAGTAGAGGAGCATGCAAGCTACCCCATCAAACCTTTGAGCATCAAATAAACAAAAATGTCAAACTTTTGACCAAACACAATAACCTGAGACTTTTTATCATTTGCTTACTTAACCATTTCCCAAAGATAGCTTTGATCTTAGCACTTGTCAAATAGCTATAATTTATTGAAGGATTAACAATGTAATTAATTCTTTGATATCCGATAAACCCTAGTTTTATGATTCGTCTCAATTGTAAAACCGTGAAAGTGACAATATTTTAAAAACTTTGGATCAAACATTTTTCAAAACTCTTTTAATGGATATTTCATAACTTTGAAAATAAAAGAGAAATAAAAACATTTTTTTCAAGCAAGACAGTCTCTCTTGAGTGGATCTTGGTGAATAACACAAAACTCATGGTCAGAATCAATGTTGAAGCAAGAAATGAGGAACATTTGGGGCATCTTTAAAGATTCAATATCAAATATTGGGGCATTTTTTGATATTGGGGCATCTTTGGGGATTCAACATCCTAATGCGAATTATTAGACCTTTTTCAGAAGATTAAACATAACCAATTCATGTTACATGCAGCTTATGCATACATTTTAAAACATCATATTTGTCATTTTTTTCCCACATACATAATTTTTGCAGCTTTTAGAGTCAAGTTTCGACTTCAAGACGAAGGATACTCGATTCAAAAACACCTTTAAAGATTGATGTTGGTTGCTTAATTCAGCAGCAAGAAGCTACACATCAACCAATTTGACATATTGAAAGATCGACAGATCTTAGAATCAACTTCAGACGAGTTCGAGAACTAATTCAGAACCGATCCAGTTCACATTTTCAAGTTGGATTTCAACTTCACGACGAAGGATATCCAATTCCTGGCTCAATTTCACGGCGAAGGGACCACCCACGGTTTCGACTTCACGACGAAGGGAATCGTGCTCACCATTGTCTCTCTTGAGACAGTTTCCCTTGAAACAAACTTTGTCTCTCTTGAGACAGCTTCCATCACATATATGCATAACTTTTTCAGGTTTTAGCTAGAGTCAATTTCAATTTCGCAGCAAAGGATATTGAGCTCAAAGCTACACAATCAACTCGAGAGTATATTTCAACTTCGCGACGGAGGATATCTAGATTGAAGCCAAACTTCACAATACTTGGATTTCAACTTCACGACGAAAGATATTCAAGTCAAGGCTCAACTTCACGACGAAGGGGCCATCCGCGATTTCAACTCCACAACGGAGGATGTCGTACCCACACATCCATGATTTCAAGTCCACGACAAAGGATATCGTGCCACTCGAGACAACACAAGTTCAACTTCACAACGAAGTGACGGATGGTTGTCAACAAACAATTTCTCAGTTTCAGAACCAATTTCAACTTCACAGCGAATGATATTGGACTCGAGACAACACAAGTTAAACTTCACAACGAAGGGACGACTGGTTGTCAATAAACAATTTCCCAATTTCAGAGCCAATTTCAACTTCACAGCGAAGATATTGGACTCGAGACAACACAAGTTCAACTTCACAACGAAGGGACGGCTGGTTGTCAACAAATAATTTCCCAATTTCAGAGCCAATTTCAACTTCACAACGAAGGATATTGGACTCGAGACAACACAAGTTCAACTTCACAACGAAGGGACGGCTAGTTGTCAACAAACAATTTCTCAATTTCAGAGCCAATTTCAACTTTACGACAGAGGATATTGGACTCGGAATAATACAACTTACTTGGATTTCAACTTTACGACGAAGGATGTCCAATTCCAGGCTCAACTTCACGACGAATGGGCACTCGCAGTTTCAGCTTCACGGTGAAGGGAATCGTGCACACAAGCATCATCCATCTTTAGATTGGATTTCAACTTCACGACGAAGAATATTCAACTCAAAGGAGTGTCTGTCAACAAATTTTCCAGTTTCAGAGTCAATTTCAACTTCACGGCGAAAGATATTGGCCTCGAAACAAAACAGCCTACATTGGATTTCAACTTCACGACGAATGATATCCAATTACCAGGCTCAACTTCACGACGAAGGGGCCATACACAACGAAGGGTATCGTACCCTAACAGATTGACCCAACTTCACGACGAAAGAATCATCTTTAACACAGTAACACCAAAGTCTTCAGGTTAAGTTTCACCTTCACGACGAAGTATCTTGAGCCAGAAGACGATTCAGAGGCCACTCACCAAAAGCTTTGTGTTCAATTTCAACTTCACGACGAATGATGTTGTGCTCAGAAGTTTCAAGATGAACTCGACTTCACGACGGAGAAGTCATCCGTAACTCAATTCGACAGGGAGTCATTGAAACATCAGAGTCAATTTTCAACTCCACCAAACGAAAAGTGTGTCTTTTAATCTTTGCCCTATCCCCGTTATACGACTATGAGCAAAGAGGGGCAGCTGTCAACACACCTTTTTGTCCTACTAGGATTCAAACTCCTAAAAATATGATAGGATTTTATTAGGATTCAAACTCCTAAAAATAGGATAGAGTCATACTAGGATTCAAACTCCTAAAGATAGAATCCACAAGCATTATAAATAGCCATTGTAACTCACTATTATAACAGACGATATACACTCGATCACAGAGAAATCACCACCACGAAGAAGGTTCAAGCACTTGTAAAGATTTTTGAAAAAGATAATAAAAAAATATAGCTTTTCTACTTTGTTTGTTCGGTTTCTTATCTTTGCATGTTGTTTTGTTGTTGAGATTTACTCAAAACCCCCTTAAAAACATGGTTTTTCGTCGATGATAAGGAAAGAGGTTACGAGATCTATTTCTTAGATATAGCCTTCCCAAGGCGAGATTTTAGAAAACCAAATCCGGATTTTAAAAGAACGAAAACAAAATCTTCGAAAAAAAAAAAAAAAAACCGATTTTAGCTTTTGGTCCCCCTTCCGTTTTGAAACATTCATTTCGCCTCTTAATGCGCAATATCAACATTAACTGTCTTTCAAATTTGGCCCCTATTTTACCTTTTCTTTTATAATAGTCATTTGTTGTTACATGCATATTTTTTTTATTCTTATTATTATGTATATATATATATTAAATTATCTTCATTTGACTATTTTTTTATTTTTTATATTCTGTCGTTATTTATATATATATATATACTTTTAATTTTTTTTCATCTATCATTATTATTTTTATATATTTTTATTACTATTATTATATGTTAGATATATTTATTATTTTATATATTTTATTTTATCTTCTATTTTTATTTTTGTATTGTTATTGTTATTATCTTCTTTATTTTTTTTTATTTATATTTTATTTATATTTGGTTTTATGCATCTTTATTTTATTTATCTTGCTTACATTTTCTTTATCTGTTTTATTTTCTCTACATTATTGCATTTATTTTTTATTTTACCTTCTTTATTTTATTAATTTTTACTACCTTTTTATCAAACATGTTTCTTGACTTCCTAAAGGGTACACTTTTAAAACTATCAAGGGTAAGTAATTAGGATCAAAATTTTTCCTTTTAATTTAACTTACAATTTTCTTAATCAAAGACAACTGAAAATTACGTAATACCGAAAGGGCGGTTCAATGGTGCTAATCCTTCTTTGACCGTAACTGACTCCCGAACCCGACATATCTTTAGAAAGACGTAGATCAGGTAAGAAATAGGGTATTCAATCAACCCATTTGTTTTAAATAAATGATCGATGGCGACTCCAATTCGTTTAATCCAAGTCGAAACCTAATTCCGGGGCCCAACCGAAAGACGGTTACGACAGGCTGGTTGTAACCTAAAAATAATAATAATATTAGTATTAGTAAATAATAATAATAAGTTTGAACCCGGACAAAAACGGGTGTCTACAAACTTTTCTTTCTTCTCACATCCCATCCATCAAAACTCACCCACATTATAAATACCAAGCTCTCCCAACACACTAACAAAAACTTTCACCTTACAAGCCTATGTATTCGATTTTTTTGTTGGATGTAGTTTCTTGATACAGATGTCTTGGATAATATATTCTAAATCTACATGAGAGTATTGTAATAATCCCCAAAAAAAAAATTACCTATGCAAAATGGAGATCAACCAATGAAACCACCTCAATTATATTCATAACTTTAACAGAATATGAAAGCACTTCAAGAAAACTTTCATTTACCATTTTGTCCCCGAAACCAACAAGAAAAAGCTAGAAAAATAAAAGAGATGTCATGCTCCAGAAAATTATATAATCTGACCAAGGAGTGAGAAAGGCATAACTTTGTACGTTTATTGATGCAGGATTATACGAAATGGTGCAAGCATCTTTGCAATGAGCATGGAGATTAAAATTAGGGTCGACCCAGAATATGAATCCGACTTTGACATTTTAAATGTCAACATTTTTTACTGTATCATCGTCAAGACTTACATGACCTAAACTTAAATATTTTTATATCCACCCAATTAACAAGCATAGTTTCTTCTCTATTTTAAATAGAACAAATAGATAAGTGATGCATCATCAAGAAATTAGACCCGAGTAAAAGCTGAAGCACAAACCACATATGAGTACTCTGTGTGAGGATTCCATTCTAAACATTCAACCTCAGCAGTGACAGACCATTTAAAATCAGAATAATTTGACACTCTTTCATCCTTCTGCAATGTATAACCACGGTATAAGAGTAATTCTGAAAACCTTGAAAGTTAAAGCAATTAGGAAGAAAAACCAATCATGTATTGCTTCAGATAGAACACCAGAAACAAACACAGATAAAGCTTGGACAAATTTTAGACAAATAAACAATTTAATTACCATAACAATTGAAAGATCAAACGGACAAATATAGGTTACTTCGACATAAACACTCTTATATACGAAGACTTTAAATGCATGCATAAGGTAAAATTTATGTTTATCTATTAATGGCTTTGTACATGCTACATTTATTGGTATGTCTTACCTCCATGGTTAGTGCCTTAAACATTTAAGTTCACCTAAGACTATTTAGCATTATTTCGGCATCTTTGTTTATATAACTTTGTGATTATTACTACTGCAGTTCCTTTCGGTAATTTGTTTCATATGATTTTACTGCCAATCCCTGAATTTATATATAAATTTTAAAACAAAGGAATTGGAAAAGAAAAACTCAATACCCATGAAATTTCAATAGAAAATATTTTATTTAAAAACTAAATTTCAAGAAATAATACACAAAAATTAACATTTCTTACCTGCAAATCAACAGGAGTAGATTAAAAAAAACTCTCATATTTATCATCTTCCTTTCTCTGATTTATGATTGTTTCACATGAATGAAGTAGCCTATAAAAGTTAAAGTAAAAAATCATTAGAAATCACTCTGATTTTCGTTAAAAATTACAAAATTAACAAGCTTCCCTCACCTCTTACCTATATAAAATGAAGAAGAAAAACGGAGGTTTTATGTTTTTCTTCTACTGAAATCAGGGCATGAGATACAGATGAGGGTTTGTTCCACTCGTACAAGAGAAGAAAAATAGAGAAAGATAATGAATCAAAAGTGAAAACTTACCTATTGTGCCGTCGATTAAAGAAAATCTTGATCTTACCCTCAGTGAGGGAAAGAGAAGGCAAGAAGATATCCTTCTTAAAGTGAGAAAGGAAATTGAGATTTTTCACTTATCGAAAATTTTGTGGCAAGTTATTTTGCCGCAAAACACGCTTCTTTTTTGTTTTGACCGGAAAACCTTTTACATTGACCTATTTTATTTTACCAAACACAGGAAAACATGAAAATGTTTTCTGTAAAACATTTTTCTCTAAACATTTTACTCCAAACATTTTATTCCAAACAAACATACCCTAAGTACAAATTTTAAAGTTAAAGAGTATTTATAATCCGAGAGTTCTAATTAAATAAAATAATTAATTTTTAAATAAAAGATAATGATAAAGATAAAATAATCAAACTAAAAATCATACTAAGAGTTCTTAGTAAATAAAATAATTAATTCTTAAATAAAATAATCAAACTGATAGTCATTAATTTAAAAGGTTTATCAAAAAAATATAAAAATAAATATTTAAGTTTTATAGTTCTAGTTGAATTATGCTTCATCTTATGGATCAATCATATTCCAGGTAAATTCCAAATTAAATATTTAATATAATTTTGTTGGTCTTCTAGAAAATATTGAATGAATCGTCCAAATATGCTATTTTTGGGCTAATTAATCCAATGAAGAACCTATCCAAAATAAACCCAAAAAGAAACAAATCAATAACATCCAAGCAACAAATGAGAGTAAATAATAGTAAAAATATGCAACATTAAACACTTATCAAATTCTCCTTCACTTATTCAATGCTTGTTCTCAAGCATACTTCAATTCAACAAACTAAGTTTTCCATTTACCTTCCATCGCTTCACTTAACATCTCAGAATACCAACAAACTCAAGTTCACATCAAATATTCAAACTAAAATAACAATCAAATAGAAGGGTATGAATTGAATAAATTTATGGCAAAATTAGAACATCCAATTAATTCATTAATTTCAAATGCAATAAGACTTAACACTCTTAGATGGATTCACTCAACACTCTCAAAGAGTTAGTTGTAGTCAACTCTCAAAGTCAAAACATTAACAATATTATCATAGGCTTGCAGGGAATCAAATCTCTACCACTGGATATGAAAATGATGCAGTAACCAAAGGGTCTTTCAAGGGTTGTAACGAGGCTTAGGTAAAGGTATGGAAAAGACAAAAAAGTAGGCTCATAATCAAGACAATATATTCATATAAGATCAGATCAAGTCCACGAGATAATATCTATTATATTTTGATTTAAATTATAATTGGTAAGTAAGTTGGATTTTATTGTAATTCTAATGGTTGAAGATTACTTTGTAAATAATTTTATTTAATAAAGAAAATATTTATTTTAAGCAATAATTCTTATGGAATAAGAATTCTTGGTCACCAAGTATTTGATTCTATAAACAGAAATTATGTCTTACCTTTAGGTCGATGTGAGAGAGAATATTTTAGAGAGATGTAATCTTTTTTGGGATCTCTACAACTTTTAGGGATTATGTTACAGAGATAGTTTTGTAGGGATTTTGGAAAAGTGTTTTGGAATATATCGGGTTTTGGTATCTATGTTGGGTTTTGGGATACATGTGATATCATATATTTGTACTCTCCGTGTTCTCTACGTTATAGTGGATTGTTGTTCATCTAACCCATGGAGGTAGGGAATGTCGAACCACGTTAAATCTCATCTATTTTGCATGTTTTATTTTTATGTTGATATCTCTTTGGTTATTTTCTGCTCTCAAATTCCTAACAAGTGGTATTAGAACTATGGTTTGAGGTGTGGAATTTTGAATGAATTTGCTACTATAGATTTTGACATTTTAAAGACATGAAAGATTAATTTGCTACAATGAAATTTTAGTTGCAGAGGAGTAATTCTCGATTGATCCAATGATACTTCGATGGATATTGTATAAGAATTGAACTTGTTGAAGATTTGAAAGCGTTCCTTCAACAGTTATGCATCAGATTTATTGAAGACTTAAATACAAATTTTGATGAAATTTAGGTCAAGTGGAGATTTGTTATATTTTGATCTAAATTATAATTGATAATTAAGTTAGATTTTATTGTAATTCTAATTATTGAATATTACTTGGTAAATAACTTAATTTAATAAAGTAAATATTTATTTTAAGCAAGAATTCTTATGGAAAAAGATTTCTTAGTGACCAAGTATTTGACTTCATAAATAGAGATTATGTCTTAACCTATAGGTTAATATGAGAGAATTATTTTGGAGAAATATAATCATTTGGGATCTCTATAACTTTTGGAGCTTATGTTTCAGAGATAGTTTTGTAAGGATGTTGGAAGAGTTTTTGCGATATACCGTGTTTTGGTTTTTATACTAGGTTTTGAGATACACATGATATCATGTATTTGTTCTCTTCGTGTTCTCTACGTTTATAGTGGATTGTTGTTCATCTTGCTCGTAGAGGTAGGTAAGGCCGAACCACGTTACATCTCGTTTCCTTTATATGTCTTATTTTTATGTTGATATTGCTATGGTTATTTTTCTGCTCTCAAATTCCTAACAATATCAAACAAATCTAAATCAATCACGAAAAAAAATTAAAATCGAAAGAACAAACTTCAATCTCGTTTTTCTTTAAATTCCTTTTTTTGTTTTATTGTTTTTTCATACACTTTTTTCTTTATTATTTTTTTGAAAAATTTGTTCTCTTGTGTCAAAAAGATAGGAAAAAATGGATAAAAACAAAGGCTTCAGTTTAAAGTGTGATAAAATAAAGAAAAGGGAAAATGACTCAAAGTGGCTAACTAAGGGATGTGTAGACATTTTTTGAAATTATGAAAAATTGATAAATCCTAAGTGCCCCTATCATTTCAAAGAATCAAATTTAAAATATAGTCTCAACATGTATTCACAAGCAAGTTCTGGAATATATATGCTAAGTTTGACAAACTTGAGACAAAAAAATGAACAATAATATAAGGAATTGATATACAAGCTCAAATCTTACAAAAATGTGTAACATGCATCAAGTCAAGTGTATTTTCAACCAATAAATTCATGGGATGTCATAAAAAAATTTCAGGAAAACACTAGTCATGCTCTACTCTTTCATGCATCACAGTTCAAACAAATATGTACGCAAGACTTTCATGACATCCTAAAATATTTCAACAAAGATTCGGGAACAATCAAGGGAAAACTCAGCATATATGATTAAATCTACCAAAATTCAAACATATGAACAACAAGAGAAAAAATTGATTCGATTCAATCCCTTTCACTTGAAGAGTATTTTCCTAATACGAAATAAACTAAAAGAGAAGAGATAAAAAAAACTCCTCATGTCAAGCGTCGATCGATCTTAAATTAAATAATGGCGATTGGGTCTGTTCAGAAGAGAAACCATCGAAGGATGTACCAAAGTTAAAATTCTCTCCTCAAAATGTTAATGTACGACAGTAGGCGCAAAGTGCGGCGGAGTGACAACTTCAGTTCTGGGAATTACGGTCACGATGTGGTGAGACCGATGGGCAGAGGGTAGCTCGATTCAAACGTTTTGTGTGAACCATGATGGTTGTGTAGGAGTCGAGAAGAGGTGATGGGTTTGGACGATGGTTATGTTCAATGGTCAGAATAATGTGCAGTTTGTGAAAGAAAGAAAAAATATAAAATATGAGACTAGGTTTCGATTGGAAAAAATGAAGTGAGTTGCGTTTTGAAAATAATACAAGGCACGTGGTGGTGAGACTGATGGGCACAGGGTAGCTCGGTTCAAAAGTTTTGTGTAAACCATGATGCTTGTGTAAGAGTCGAGAAGAGGTGATGGGTTTGGACGATGGCTATGTTCAATGGTGAGAATAGTGTGCAGCTTATGGAAGAAAGAAAAAATATAGAATATGAGGCTAGGTTTCGATTGGGAAAAAAAATGAAGTGAGTTGTGGTTTGAAAATAATACAAGGCACGTGGGATTTGGGTTGATGAAATATGGGGGGGGGGGGAGAGGTTAATATAAAGGGCACATGGGGTATTAAAAATGGGAATAATTTATAACATGCCAGTAGTGGGCGCAGGGGCATTGTTGCACATGGAAAGGTGGCTTTAATTGGTTATGCTAACGTGCACCGAGATTTTAAATGGAATGGTGAATAGTTTGGGTGCACAATGGTTCCCAGTTTTGAAACAAAATTCATTCTTCGCCTGCTACCTGCTGTTCACGTGAAATAAATGATGGTTGTTCATTTGAGTTCGATTAAGTTTTTGCGGGCGCCTAAAAATACAAAGAAAAATAAATAAATAATTTAAAAAGTAAAATAGTAAAAATAAGTAAAACTGACAGAAAAAATGGGTTGCCTCCAGTTTGAGTGGTTTTTTTTAACATCATTGGTGTGATGACCTGGTTTAGACTAGAGGTTTAACGAGACATACTTCATCACTTCATTCGTTTTTTTCCCAACTGAGAGTTTCCTTATGAGAAATTTTATGATTCTTGTAGGCATTTTTTTCCTAATGTTTTCCAACTTGTTCAAAATAATAATTGGCAATAGATATTCTTTTCGTAAAAAAGTGTTCTTCAAGTGATCAGATGGTGGCTCCAACTCAATCTCTAGTGCCTGTAAAATCGTATGTAAAAGTTTAGTCTTTGAAGGTTCTAAGCACAAATCCAAATCAACTTTAGAAATATTTTCTAACTCTATCGATACATCAACTTCATCATTTAAGTCCTTGTATAATTTATTAGAAAAGTTATGCTCATATATTCATCAACAAATGGTTCAAAAATATTGAAAAAGATAACATTTCCATAGAATTTGGATATTTCATCACCTTATAGACATCAAAGTTCATGGTGAGTATTCCACTTCGAACGTCAATCTTCATTTGCATTATGCTCAAATATGGTCTTTCGAGCATAATTTTGGAAGAAGTATTAGATCGATCATCCTCCCTATCGAAGATATAGAAGTCAACAGGAAAAACCAATTCATTTACCTTTCCAAAGATGTTTTCCAAGACTCAGCTTGGATACACCACTAATCTATCAGCAAGTTGGATTGTTACACATGTCTCTTTTAAAG